CTCACACACCATTCACTCACACACCAGTCACTCACACACCATTCACACCTATGGGCAATTTGGCAACTCCAGTTAACTTCAGCATGTTTTTGGACTGTGGGGGGGAAACCGGAGTCCCCAGAGGAAACCCCACGGTGATACGGGGAGAACATGCAAACTCCACACATATGGATCCATGGCAGAGATTGTACAGGAGGGTCCAAGCAACTAGGGGAGGCCGAACCAACCGATCAGATGTCTTGGACCCACCTCCTCTACAATCTGATTGATGATCCCTCTGAACCAATCATTTTTTGTTCTGCTCTCAGAACATTTTTGTGTAAGTAAAATTCCCACAAGCCCTGTGAATCTGAATGGTGCATTTAGAAGGAAAAGGGCAGCTCAGGTTAAGGTCCTTTTGAATGAGCTCAGTTTGTAAACAGTGAGTAACAGTGAAGCAGGGCTTCACTAACAGGCGGCATCTCCACGTGTTCCAGGAGGAGAGCCGTCCGATCCTCTATGTCTTCTGCTCTGTGACGAAGGAGACCTTACCCCTGATGGGAGACATCCTCCACCTGGGCACCTCCGTCTCCAGGCTGAAATCCCTGGTGTCTCTTCGCAGTGGCCTCCCAGTCAGCACCTTCAGGCTGACCACTCAGGCAGGCCTGGAGCTCTATAACTGCAACACGCTAAACAGCTACATTAAAATGGGTAACAACTACAAAAGATATGGGTATGATCTGTTTCATGTGCCTGGCTCAAGTCAGAAACACAAAGCAGTACTTTGACGGAGTGTTCTAGAAAGGTTAAACATGCTTCCTTATATTAATATTAATCTTAACATTACTGTCTGGTAGCAGTCCAAATTTTTGGCTAGCTCAGATATTATGATGCCTAACATTACAGTGGACAAATAACCCATTATACCCAATATGACAAGCCATACATTCTTAATGGATTATAGAAAGCAGAACGCCTAAATGGCCCAGTGGTGATGATTATAATCCATTGTTCCAGGAGCCACTCTTCACCTTGACGTCTGGGACGGGTGGGTGGAGCTCCTGAAAGGCTGCCGCCTTGGCGACAAGCACACAGTCCAGCACCACCTTTCTGAGGACCCGCCCATTTTAAGGTTTCAGATACAATCAGCTTAAGCATTTCACACAGCGCAGGTCAGACCCACATTCTCCTCACCTAATTGAGCTTAAAATCTGTATGAACGTACACAGTATGAGTCGAGGCTCACCATCGAATGGCCTGCAAATGAAATATCAGCTTTATGATGATGCTGTCTGAACACAACCAATCAGAACATGGGGGAGTGGCTATAGGGTTAGGGCGCTGTCCGAACACAACCAATAAGAACTAGGGGTGTAACGATATATTCAGCCTACAAGACGAGACTAGACACGATATTGGGTTCACGAGAACGAGATGATATTTTAACAAGATTTTAAGGAAAACTTCAAAGAGCAAATATATTACTGGAAAGCAGCCTTTTATTTGATTAATTTGAAAGACAAAAAATGCTAAATAATGCAGATGTATGGTGAAATGTTTTAAATAATCACCCTCATCATATGCAGTAAAGAACAGAACAAATATCTAGCACCATAAAATATTTCACCACAAATTTAAATGACAGGCTTCTCTCGTATTTGACTACTCAATTGAACATAAAATAGAATATAAATAAAACAATATAAATAACAAACATAAAACATTTTCTTAATGTTTTCTTCACCGGTGCAGTGGATTTAAGTAAAGAGCTATTATGGTGCTGCAAATGCCTTTGCATAGTAGTAGCATTAGCCGCTGTGTAGGGCATTATTTTCCTACTATCAACTATGCTTACAGATGGTTTATGTTTTGTCTGTCACCCTTTCGCCGTTTATATTTTCCGCCGGGTGCCCAAAATGCTGCCACACAAAAGATTTAAAAGTGTCTGGGACATCTGCTATGGTAATTTCGTCAGACGCCGACACGCTTACTTCAAATGATTTGCAGCGCCATCGCGAGACCGCTTTTCACTGCGACGAGAAAGCTCATGTTGTAATATCGCGAGATCTCGCGACACAAGATCTCGTTAAACCCCAGAATAATAACCAAGGGGAGTGGCTATAGAGGTGAAAACAAGTCTACTCTGTCACAGGTTCCAGCAGCGAGTGGCTCTATCCATGGCTGCTTTTTTTGGACACTTGGATCTGGCGGTCTGGCTGCTGAGAAGAGGGGTGCGGGCAAACGAGCCAGTGGGGGCTCACCCATACCGTGAGTGGTGCTGGGAGGCAGACCACCCAGAAATCAACAAGTGCCCCGTCCACGCCGCCGCCGAAGCCGGCCAGCTGCTCATCCTCAAAGTCTTCATCAGTAGTAACATTCTTAGCCTGGACTGTCTGGATCCGGATGGCCGAACCCCACTGCAGATAGCCATCCGACAGCGGCACAAGGACTGTGTCTGCCACCTCGTCTCCAAGCTGTGGTCAGTCGCTTGTTTCCAGGGTTTCACCTTCCCCATGTGGATTTATGTCCAGATAAAGCACTGGGCCCAAAAAGCCCAGAAGAAGGCCTCCTCCTCCCAGGGCCTGGCGTTCGGAGCGTCGTTTAGAACCACGGTTGGAAGCACTGTCTGTGTCGATGGTTTCACCAAGCCGATGATGACTTCCAAGGCCAGAAACAAGGTGTTTAAGGAAGGTGCCATTAGAGACCCTGCTCTCCCAGATCTGGCCACAAGCAAAGATCTAGCTGCACCCTCTGATCACCCTGCTGGCCTGGATTCCCAGGATGCACCAGTGCGGCTGCCTCAGCTGCTTCCTGAGATGGCAAATAGTAGCAGACCCAACAGGGGTAGCAGGGGGAATAACAACTATTTGGATGGAAGTGGGGATCAGGAAAGGAAGACTTGGGCAACTAAAGTTCCTATTTCCTGTGACACTCCCCCACAACGTCAATCAAATTGCACTTTGCCTAGCACCTCCCTTAGCCTCACTTCCTCCACATACTCCTTCTCACAACAAAGAAATCGGACACTCAGGGAGAATGCCATCCACTGTCTGTCTGTAGCAAGGTGAGCCCTCTTATGGCTCTTTTCCACTGCACCAGGTACCGCACTTTTACCGAACTCCACAAAAGTGTGGCACTTCTTGTGCTGGTTTTCCATTGCCGCAAAAACTGGTACCAAAATGACATCATCACAACGTGAAGCAGGATATTTTGCAGGCTACTGAATTTGAAAGATAGTATTTAGGGCTGGTGATGTGCTATATTAATACCAACAACATTATTTGCAAAACTGATCGACAATAAACACATTTGGAGTCCAAAGCACCAACGTACTGAAAAAGAACCCCAGCTGGTTGGTACTTTTGGTACTGGTACCTCACCAGGCATCAGTGGAAAAGGGAAATTTACAAATATTTTGTAGTGAAAGTATGGTACCTGGTGCAGTGGAAAGGTCCTTAAAGTTGTTCTGTCTATACCAAGCTAATTACCCACTTGAAATGCACTGACCATGTATATTAGCATATACAAATAAGATCCAGAACTTCTGACATGTAAGCTATTGAAATGAAACGGCTCCTGTCCATTGTAGTTCCTCTGTCTGTTAATAATAGGGCCATTTTGCAGTTGGTCACCCTTTCATACTTCTATGCAGCCATTTGTGGTACAGTACATTAGTACTGTGTCAGCTAATCGGCTGTTCTGGTCTTGTCCTTTTTGCAGTTCCTTCACAGAGAGGTCCTGGCTGCAGCAGCTAGCTATCGCCCGGATACTGGCCAAAAGAACTGCTGGAAACACATTGTAAAGGCTCATGGGTAAAGACTGACCGGTCCAATACCCTCCACTGTCATGCTACAGTGAAACTGACAAATTGGACCCGGCAAACATAACTTACTCCTCCATTATTATCGGTAACACTTTACTAAAGGGAACATAATGTAGCAGAACACGCTTACTTAATGCATTAATTAACCAGTAACTAAGTGTTAGTTATGTACTGATCCCATGCTTTTCATCATTAATCAATTATGACAGTACATGTGATCTTTGTACTTTGGGAGAAAGTCAGAGTACCTGGAGGCAGGGGTGTGGGAGGGGCATGGATTATGTAAAATTCTATAATGCAAGGGGGTGGGGGGCCCAAGGTGACATTTTGTCAGGGGGCCCAGAATGTCTAGCAACTCCCCCCAACCCCTGGATGTATCTGGAAACTCTTTCACCACTGAGACACCAAACCACCGGATATTATACAATTCTTACTCCCTTAAAGATGAAAATGAATTATAAGAATAGGTTGGGGCTTACAATGTAAAGTTTTGATAACAGGGTTCTGCTGACATTATTAGCATAGAACATCACAAACCAAATGTAGTACAATGTTAAGTTAGTACATTTGCAGGAAAGGTTCCTAAAAGTATTATATATTGTGAAAAATAAACTTCATAACAAAATCTGTAACTCAGTGTTTGTTCTCTTTTGTAACGAAGTACTTTTTGATACCTAATGTCTGTGCCACACAATAATTTTATACATTGTTGTGAATGACATTAAAAGATACAAAGTGTAAAATTTGTCTGATTTCCAAGCAATTACTAAGATGAATGTCACAGAGGTTATTTAGGTGGTGACATGCTATATGAAGTCGTCGTTTACGTCTTAAATGCTTCACAGCCCAGTATACTGGCCTTATTTACACCTTCATGAAGCAGAGCTGCAAACTCTCACGCATCTGGCGTGACAGTCACGCAAGAAGTCTTACAACAAATCGTTATACCATTTTAAATCTAAAATTAGCTACATCAAAAGCATTGGGGAAGTTTGCAAACCCTACAGACTACAGGGTAATAAAACTGTTACATACATGCAAATGCGTGCGCATGTGTGAAGATTTATCTCGAAATAAAAATCACATTCCATCCAGCTGACCAGTTGAGAGCAAGAGTTAGCAACCCTGATGATGATACTGGAGAAGTGTAATCTTTCAAAATGTTAAGTCTTTTAGAAACTTCGTGGTTCGAAAAAAGCGGAACCACAGTGTCCGGCATTCTGCTCCAGCCGGAAGCTTTAGGAAACGGCACGGTCATGTGACAAGTGGCCGGATTGATTAAGATAGCTAGCTAATCTGATATAGTTTGCTTGCGTTTAGGTTCTGCAGTTATAAGAAATCAAATAAAATGTTGTTAGTATTAAGCGACGAGCATAAGGAACATTTAGGGTTCCTACCAGAAGTGGACTCTGCAGGTGAAGTAACTAACTTGGAAGAATCTAACTTGTGGCTTGATGCCTGGGAAATAGAGTAGCTTTACTTGCCATTATTGCGTTGTCAAGCAAAGTCATTTTTGTAGTTGAGAGATTCGCTAACTAGTTTTGTATCTTGACACGTCGTTTATTACAGTTGTAAGTTAACCAGCTCTCGGTTTGGGATCATGTTAAAGCAGGGCTGACACGCTTTCAGACTCTCACCCCCACGCAAGAATTCTTACGGCAAACTTACATTATTCCAGTATAAACCTAAAATTAGTTACATCAAAAGCGTTGGGTAGTTTGCAAACCTACAGCATATTTACATGGTAATAAAACTGTTACGTGTAAATTTGTGTGCAGACTTGTCTCGAATTGAAAATCTCACGCCAGCCAGCTGACCAAAGTGAGCTTCCCTGTAAAAGGCAAATTTAATTCTCCTTGTGCCTGCAGTTGTTGGGGAGTTTGGACGAATCGCCGTGGAATTTCTGAGGAAAGGATCAAATCCTAAAATTTACGAAGGGGCAGCAAGTAAGTCATCCAGTGCCTCCTTAATATGTATTAAATTATTCATGTACCATATTATATTTATGCCTGTGCAAACATGTCTCGCTCTTACAGGAAAGTTAAATGTGACTGCTGAAATCGTGCAGCATGGAGTGGAGGGGCTTATGTACCTTCTTTCAGAAAGCTCTAAACTCATGGTAAGAACATCCGTGGGCCGTCTGAGGTGTGCTTAGTAACATAGCTATATACAGTTATGTATGTTTGCCTGTATACCATGTCCTTTGTTCCTGATGCGAAAATGGTGACCATGCGCTTCGCTATTTAGCGAGGCAGAAAGTGTGTTAAAGGAAAGGATTATTATTCTGTGAGAGCTGGTACAGCTGTACTGACCACGGTGTTTGTGTGCCTCAGATCTCTGAGGTGGATTTCCAGGACTCTGTTCTGGTACTGGGATTCTCGGAAGAGCTGAACAAACTGCTCCTGCAGCTGTACCTAGAAAACAGGAAGGAAATCCGCCTCATCCTGAGCGAGCTGGCCCCTTCCATGCCCCACTACCATAACCTGGAGTGGAGGCTGGATGCGCAGGTACACACATTACATTCCACTTTCGATTTCTATAAACTTCATACCCTTATAGAGCGGTTTTGCCTGTACATCTCCATAGCAGGATTCTGTCATTAAGTGCTTTATAGAAGGCTGACCATAGACAGGTTTACAGGGCCTGTTAGAGCCATATTGTGATCCAGTAGTACCTGATCCCAATAAATTTCAGTACACTGCTTGAGCTTAGTCTGTGTTTTAGTGATGGCTAAATGAAGCTTCATGAACCATTTGCCGTGTTTTTTGATTCCACTAGATGGCACTCTTGGTTTGCGTTGAGCCCTTTTTTTGAACAAAGAACACCATCTAGTGGGGTCAGAAAACACAGCAAGTAGTTAATTTGGCCATCACTAATATGTACTACCTGGTTCTTATGCACATGAAATTAATCCGTGACCATTTATAGTGTTTTGGCATGTGAGCAACACTTGTAACCTCTTTAAGTGCATCTCCAATTATTGTGGGTCTAGCCGGTTCAGGGAGGCTGATTACCGCCATGTGACCCCCCCCCTCAGCTGGCCAGCAGGGCACTGCGGCAGCAAGTGAAGCCCGTGTTGAACCTGAAGCTGCAGCTGGACGACAATGGGACCAGGCGTACCCACCTGCTGCAGACTGACCCAGCCACTCTGCTGCACCTCATCCAGGAACTGGAGCGGGCGCTGGCCGAAGTGAAGACAAACCACTGTCGCAGGATCCTGCGCAACATCAAATAGTGCCTGCCAGGGGCCACTGGGGGCCTCAGGGACCGGACAAAGCTACCACACCCTGTATCAGGGACAGGAGGGGGCGCTATTACCTCTAGCTATTGTGGCCTGTAAAATGTAATGTGAGGCTGTAAATATTTCACAAAGTACAGGGCAGACTGAGTATCAGTGCTCCCAATGACATCAGTTTAATTACTTAAAATCAACACCAACAGTATGTGTGCACTTTGAAGAACTTGTACATTAAGACATTTGAACCTCGCCCTGTTTGTGTGATATTTTGTTTACTATGATATCAGATCGATTTATTGAACTTGTAGAAATTCTAAGGTCGGGGGGGCTAGAACCTGTTCCAGATGGCACAAGGCTGAGCTACATCCAGGATCTATAGATGCCAGTTAGCCTGATTCTGTTCCCCAATCCCCCAGACAGTCCACGTTTTTGCTCCCTCCCAGCTCCTAGTAGGAGCAAAAACATGGGCTGTCTGGGGGTCCTTAAGGACTGGGTTGGGAGTCAGTGGCCTAAGTCGTGTCTTAGGACTTTGGGAGGAATACCTCGTGACACGGGGAGAACGTGCAACTCCACACATACAGAGCAGAGGTGGGATTTGAAGCCCCCGTTTCTGAAGGTATGAGGCAACAGTGCGACCTGCTGAGCCACCCTCTCTTTAAAGTTAGTACATTCTCAACAAAAGCTCACATTAATATAACATGCTACTGTCTTCAACACCATTATATTGGAGACTGTTTGATACAGTGCTCACAGAAAGTCTTGGGATGCTTAATTCTGAAAACACATAGCAAATTTATTAGTGTCATAAGTCCATTGACAAGCAATGTTTAACATATCTGCACATCTCTTTCCAAAAGACATTTTCTTAAGTGTCTTAATTTCTTGGCTGAATCATTCAGTTCCATTCTTGCCATTTTGCTATTAACTGCAACTGTAGTCATCTGCGCCCAAATGGCTCACAAAGCAATGCTTAACTAATGTTTGGTGTCGTATGTCATTCTGAAGGTATTGCTAATTGAAAAGCAGCCAGTGATGCTTGTCAATGAACTTTTTAACTCGGAACAGCTCTTTTAGAACTTTAATTTGGGTTTCAATGTATTACTACTTGAATGTTTCACTTAAAACTACTGGTTTCGAATGTGATATATATATATTTTGTAAATAAATGAGTAACATAATGATTTTTTGTTACAAAACCAATAAATTTGAAATATTTTTACTGAACTGAGCAAGCGTCCCAAGATTTACTGTGAGCACTGTATGTTTGTAAGTTTGCTTTTTATGGTCTGTATGAAGTCAGTGGTGTTCAGAGCAGCTTGTAATTCTGATGAGTTTTTTGCTACTTGTTATAATCTGACAAATTTTGAATAAACATAATTGTAATCACCTTACCAGTATAGATCATTTTAGCTTTTACTTTCCCAGCCAGCTGTCCTTAGAAAAATATATCACAGAGCTGAAATTTCATACCTTTGGAGGATATATAGAAAAACCATCTTGCTTTATATGTAATGCAGGGTTTCCTTTGCCCTATTAGGTTATTTATGCGAGCGGCTAATTCTGAATACCGGTCTGAGGGTAAGTTTTAAACCTCGGACCTTTATACAAAATCCTCCTTCATGTTTAAGCACGTTTGGGGGATGCAATGGAAAAATACTGAAGGGAAACTATGGACGTGCAATTTTTTTCATTACCTTTTGTAAATCTCTTGCATGCATTGCAGAGTAATTCTCTGACCTGATAAACATAACCATGCTGTTTTTGTAACTCAAATGCCTGTAATATTGTTAAACTGGGGAAATCTGATGCTTTTTCCATATCACATTTTCTCCATGAAAGAGATAGACAAATGTGCACATACGGGTGTATATTTAACAAGTTTAGTGAAGAATTTCCTGTGTAATGTGTTTAGAACTTCAGATCAGTTCACCTTAGGACGGTATTCTGACTATAGGTTTCCCACAATGCATTTTTTAGGTTGACTACCATCTCCTGCGACATTTTTAAAAATGTAATTCCCTGGTGTGATTTCATGTGCCCATCCACATATCCTTACATTTTGGAGGGCATTGTAGGTCAAATCCTGCTTATGGATAGGTAGTAAAAATACATGCACCCATCAGCTCTGCTGTTTTTTGAGTATCATAACATATATTAGAGTTATTGTGGGTGAGAACAGTCTCGGGCCAAATGGTAAAAAAAACAAGTGAACACGATCCCTTCTCTACCTGGTAATCTATGTAGAAAGAACAAGAACGCAATTTTAATCCACTGTACAACCTTTGATACCAATGTGCCGCTGAATACAACTATTAACTCAGTTGTACCAACTTGACTAGATCCTGTTTACTAATTTTCTATACTATGGCCACAAGGGGGCAGTATAATTATATTACTTTTTTCTTTTTCCACAGTTTATTTTTACAGATTTATTTTGGTTTATTAATATACTCGCTTTAATACATTGGTTTCATGATGTCCAGAAATGTGTGATTTACATGAAAAAAAGTATATGCTTGGAATAGCCTAACTCGTCTTTCACTGCAATGGCTTGTGCCTAGAAAGAAGTACCAACGATGTAACAGAGAGCACGCAAGCTAGTAATATGGCGGATATAAGTGTGCTTGATGATGCATTTCCTGATTAAGAGAATCACTCTGTTCTGGCCATGCATATACGATGACTGTCCCCAGGATTAAACAATTGGCCCATGATGAGTGCAGGAGGCTACCTGCCAGTACGGAATAGTCCTGCCGTACGTCGTAACTGCTCTTGTTAGAAAACAGCTTTTATTAGTGAGAGTATACACTGGAGATAAAATTCTGCATTTTTCCAAAAGTTATTTATCATTTGCTTTGAGACAGAAAGGGATTCATACATTTGGATGACTTTATGAACAACAAATGAGACGCATTTAATTATACGCCAGAAGCTAGGCTATTTAATTATTACTACGTTACCCATCTATAGTAATTGAAACTGAAGTGCTTATCAAAGGCAGAAAAATCTACCAAATTAATTGTCCCCCGAAATTTGACCTTATAACATTATGGTCAATTAGTCCACGCTTCGTATCTTCTTGGTGGCAAGGCACACACGTTTAGTCTTTCCACAACTATAAATATTAGTTAGAAGAAACCAATCTGGAAAGGACATCCGTTTACTTTAGAATGTTTTTCAATTATGTAGCTAATGTACTTAATAGGGAGCAAAGTTTAAATTATCTGGTATCTGTTTATTTGTTTGAACTGATCAGAAAAAAAAGATAATGTTAAGAAGGTAACATGGTTGTACCTATGACCTTTGTCCTGGTGTTTGTCTCTTGCTACCTTGGCTAATGTCAGGTTAACGCTAATTTAGACGGTTCTAGGCACTATTTAGGGGGGCTTCAGCACCCTATGTTTTGTTTCAGCCCCCCTAAAAATAGTCTTACTAAAATCATTTAGCGACTTGTCCCAGACTTTCGTATCCATGTCATACCCCCAAACTTTATTGTGGGGATCCCCCCTCCTCTCGGTGACGATCCCCCCTCCTCCCTCCTCTCGGTGACGACCCCCCCCCCCCACCCCCACCCAAGGGTCAAATCTTAGAATGGCTGCTGCCATCAAACAAAGGGGTCGCCTTTAATAATTATTTCCTTTAACACACATTCTGCCTCGCTAAACAGCAAGTAGCAAGTAACTTAAGTAAGTAAGTTAAGTGTGTGTTTAACTCCTAGGGGCATTCTTATATTTATCAGTATAAAATGCAGAACCACATGTTTTCATACAGGCTTCATATAGATTAAAGTATATATCAAACATTTCCTTGTACATAGATTTCCGGCCCGATTTCACTTGGGGGGTTTATGTGAAGGAGACATGCTATCAGCCATAAAATAAACTTTACTTTCAGATTATGCTGCTGTTATGAAACTGAGTTCCATGCGTGGGCGACACGGTCAACCTGTAAACCATTCGCAGGACTGTAGGAGTGCATTTTAAAATACAAAACACTTTATATGTTCATGTTGCATCACCTAATGTATATAAGTTTTAAGTTTTGAATGAGACGAAGGCACATTTCAAAACACTAACATTTTATACTACAATATACTGTTATACCACTATATTATTCTTACTCCAACCGGTGTTAGACATTTCCGAATATGATATAATTCGTTCCCCCACCTTATGTGTGTCGTTTTCTTACTTTCCTTGAAAATAACACAGTAAATCTGCGCTCCTGCCGTAAGAAACTCAGCCGTGCCTCCACTTTGGTGCCTCATGAATAATTTATAAGAGATGGCGGACACAGATCACTTGCAAAGTTGAGTTTACAAACTTTGGGACGGCAGACAGATTAGTACGACGCGCTCCGCGGAAAGGAAAAGTTCGTGAAAACTTTTCCCATGTAGGGAAAACGATTAATTTGTTTTTTTGGTCTTCCAAAAACGCACATAAGGCTATTTTAAAACCAGAAAACCTGACTTGTATTGGGAAGTCATTGGGGTAGACTTTTTCCTTTTCAATTGTCGTTATTTTAACTATCATTCTACAAATTGTCAAGTATTTTTCCTTTTAAGAAAATGAGCAACAATCATTTGCAACCTTTTCCCGGACAACAAGTTATCCGTGTTGCAAAGGACCTTGACACAGATCTGGAAGCTCTTTTTAACTCCGTTATGAACCCACAGCCGAGTTCCTGGAGGAAAAAAGTCCTTCCCGAGTCTTTCTTCAAGGAGCCGGACTCCGGGTCGCACTCACGCCAGTCCAGCACCGACTCGGGGACGCAGCCGGCCCGGCTCACGGCGCAGCACGTCCGCTCCTACTCCTCTCCTGCCTCATTGCAGGTCGGAACCGGACCCAGTGCCAGCAGCAGCCCGGTGTGCCACCCTCGGCACCAATCTGTTGATGTCACGGGCGAGCTGCCCCTGCCACCGGGATGGGAGATGGCTTTTACCTCTTCTGGTCAGAGATACTTTCTTAAGTGAGTGTTCACAAACTTCAGTGTTCAAATAACAAGAAACAAACATGATTATGATGATTATTATTATTATAATTATCATCATCAACAACAATAACAACAATAATAATTGTCATTATTGCTATTATTATTATCATCAATGACAATGACGGTTATTATTATTATGATTATTATTATTATTATTATTAATAATAATTGTAATTATTACTGTTAATATTAATAATGATAATAATAAGCACTATGAGCTGACTTGCCCTTCATGCCATTGACACAGAATCACGGGTTTACATCTCACTCTTACAATTAAAATGTTCATGTTCATCAAATGCCCATCGAAACTGGGTTTTTGTCTGCTGGTGTGAGTGGTTTTTGGACTGTATGCTTTATAACGCTGCCGGTAAAGACACTACCCTTGTGTTACTCACTGGGACAAATGCGCCTTCATTATATTTAATCACGCTAGGAAAATTACTGTTCAGTTTGTCAATTGGATGCAATTTGATTAACTTGGTTAGAAAACAATGGCGCTGCTTCACCGCGTATTACGTACGAGACCATCGGCAAGCAGCGTTTTGATAAGCTTTACTGTTACTGTGGCTTAGTTAGCCGCTGTCAGCCGCAACCCATTATGCTGTAGCCCCGTTTAACCTAATATCGGTATATTACCTCGCATAATGTATGACTTACACACCTTGTTCTGGCGTAATTTCACGTTTAATATTAACTGGTTTCCAGGGGCTGATGATTTGCGTAGTGTTACGTAGTTCCTGCTAAAGTGGCCTTTTTGTTTGATTTAATTTCTTTTAACCTGTATAAATGCATTTTTTCCCCAAATCGACATGGGCTCTAAACTGTTTTGGCCTGCTGGGATGGCTGTACTATCATTTCTGCTGTGGTATTCTTACAGCCTCATTCTTAGTACCCAAGTCTCTTAACCGGTGCTTTTCCAGTGACATTTCCTTAACAATATATTTAATATTATCAGACCTCACCCATATTTTGTAATATTTTTGTCTGGACTGTTAAAATGTTCACTGTACAGCTCTCTGGGGATTCCTGATAGCTCAAGTTTCTATTGCCCTGTCAGTCAAGTTGTCCAAGGTGCCATTTCATTGATGAGCAGTTTCTCGCTATTTCTGGTTCTGCCCGATCAGGACCGTCCGCGCTGTAGATCAGGGCTTTAATATAGTTTCATAGAGGACAACAATAGTTAAGAAGACTTTTCTTTTGTCTCCTTGCCAGCAGTCATTATCATATTGGAGTCGATGGGAGATCTCAGCAGAGCTTTGGTCACTTTGGCAGTATGGGATCTGCAGGGACAGTATTGTAGACTGTTATCTGGATACATACCATCCATCATAGGTCCAGACTAACAATGACTCCCAGTTTCTACTCTGGAAAGAGTTATATATAATCGAGACTCAAATTTCTTGTGACCCTAACCTAGTTCTTTTAAAGGGCTTAAGAAACTAAAACCTAAGACTTTCCTGCTTCTTATGTACAATGTTGGTTTTGTTTTCTTATATAAAAAAAAATCTAATTAATAGTCAGTCTTGTGAATCCAGGATGATGTTCCTGCTTCCCTCTGAAGGCAGTGCTGTTTCATTTGGCATGAACAGTCATTGTAGTACCAGACCTAGTATGTTAACCAGAGCTCATGGCCTCTGACTTTCACTGGGGTCAAGATAGACAAGGTCTGTCGCAGCTGTTTGGCTCTGTAAACCTAAACAGGTCAGATCTTATCCTTAGAAAAAGCTTTGGATTCTGCTGGGTGGCACGACGTCTTTTTCATTAGCGTCGATGTTGGCTCTGGTGTCATCAGCCGTTGCTGCCGGTTCTCGGTTTGCAGCCCTCTGAGCATGTCGGCTCCTGCCGTGATCTGAAGGTTGGACGTGCCGGTCACAGCCCCACCCTGCAATTACCTAATCATCCAAAATAAGTTCAGATGATGGCCCAGTTACCTCCTTCTTCATAATGCACCAAGCTTTTTGGTTTATCTATCATTGCTGATGTTGGAGGCCTTCACAGAGTGTTTATGCGCTTGAATTAAAACAAGTACAGGTTTAGTCAGTCTTCCATGGCTTGTGCTCTCCTTGCACGCAAAGGAGCTTTGCTCAGTTACTAACACCTAACATAATTAGCACGAACTACCTAATTACAATTCATTAATAGCCACAGGTGGTGAAACTGGTTAGGGGACATGACTTAAAACAACATTAGAGGTTTGTGTTACTATGTGCCTATATAAAGCTACAGATGGTGCAGTGGTTAAAATTTCCCCTGGTTGCAGCTGGCGGTGGACTGGTTAAGGGATTTGGTTTGTGGGTTGTGAGCCAAGGAGGAAAGCGACTGATGTATCCTTCAGTGAGGTCCTCAACAATCATGTGTCTTTATTTGGGTTTCCGAGAGCCTTCTGGGAACATGTCTGGGCCACTCCTTGACATTCTATGTAGTTTGCGCCTCTTTAATCTGTCAATAACTGGCAGGGAAGCGTCACAAAGTCTTGAATACTAGTTGTTTTTGTATTTACGCTGTCACGGCAAGACGCAGTGAAGAACCAGGCCGTGTTTATTTTTTCTATCGCAGTTGGGAACTGGGACCAGCTTGCTGACTGTGGTGGTGATACAGTGTGAAAAAAGTGAACGAACAGGGACTGATGCAATGCAGAAATATCTTCAGTTTCATGTTTGCTGCAAAGCCAAAACGCACTGGATTGGTCCCACTGAGAAATTACTTGTTGGAGCAGTAGTCATTGGGCTTTTACAGTATTTTCTGCAAAGCGTTCTAAAGCCAAACATTCATAAATAGTGTAGCGCTAAGCAACCTTAGGTCTGTCTGATACATTGTTTAACCACTCATGGAATGTGGTGTCCACATGGTATAATTGAAGGGAGTCTCTATCTCTGGAGGTTTCTGGTATAGTTTTTCACCACTTGTATGACTTTAAATACAGTTATGTCCGCTTTTGCTGATGATGGATTGCACTCTCATTGGCTGTCACTTTGTATTGTGATGTAAACATACAGTAGGGTGAATATTGCTTATGTAGGACAAAAGGTAAACTGGCACACTCGTATATGGAATTCTCTACATTAACACCTCTATTAACTTAAGCACTTTTCTTCACCTTTCATTAACGCATTTATGCTTTAATATTTATAACTAGAATTATATTTTTTAATTGAGAAAGTAAATTTTCACACATTCTTCCAGTCTTCCAATATCCACCCTGTGTCCTGGTTTGGTTTGACAATTGAAAGTTTGTTTGTTTGTTTGTCTGTTTTATTTTAATTAATTTATAAAAGCAGAGTAGAAGGCTATATTTTTTTCCGGTCTTTTGGGTTTGAGAACGCAATGATTGATGGAAAATTGGAAAAAGGGGGGGGGGGGGGCTCTGCAGTTATCCAGAGACTTTGCATTGGGGGGGGGATCTGTACAGCTCGTTCTGGCATGCCAGGCTGGGGGAGGTCAAGGGAAAATGGGAACAGATAGTAAAATCAGATCTATGTTATGTAGCAGTCCCTCCCCCCACCCTAACCCCCCAGCAGCCCTTACAGTCCACTTCACTCCTGTGTGCCTGGGCCCAGTACGCTGCACTGGCTGGACTTTTGACAGAAGCTGCTGCTTCATGTCACTCGGCCAAGCGTGAGAAAAGCCTGGAATTCCTGGGTGTTGAGGCTGGGCCCGAGTCCATGCCGGCTGTAATGAGGATGGGCTTTAATGCTGTATTAAACTCCCCCAGAAACTCCCCACCTGCACGTCCCACCACCACATCGCTATATACTTCGTACAGTCCTTACGCTGTAGCAGTACGCTACATTTTCTGAGGACCTCGGTTGTCGATGAAATGGAGTCCTCCGTGGAAGTGCGATTCAGTGGTAATAATCAGTATCCGAGTTACGTTAGGACTGCAATAAAAGACATCCATAAACACGTACTGATATTTTAATATTCCGCATTACAGATTTGAAGGGGAGACCGGCGCCAAACCCCCCCCCCCCCCCCCCCCCAACCCTAACCCTAACCCTAACCCTCCCCCCCCGGGTGTGCACCACCTAGACAGAGTGAAATCGTGCAGTGAAGTTTGACAGGGGTGCTTCCCCGCGGCTTCGACCGACACTGGTACAGTGATGTTCATGAACAGCCAGTGACCGGCCAAGATGATGTAGGATCTACTGGTATAGGATCTGCACAGGGAAATATGTCTTGATGTTAGGCCATGGAGAAAAAAAAATTAATGAATTTACACACGCACACACACACACACATATATTATTCAGCTCACTAGCCAATTCCCAGGTTTAGTAAGTGCATTTGAGTAGGGAAATCTGCAAACTGCATTGCAGACTGGCCCCCCAGGACTGTAATTGGGGAATGCTTCTCTAAGCCCCTCCCCCCAAACCCTTGTCCAGGATTGGGGGTTTGCAGCTGGATGGACGAGGAAAAAAACAAGCTGCTTGAGAATTATGTCTTTCCTTTGGTTTTCACTAACAACCTGTAGTTCACAAAAAGGAGATCAATGGCATGGTGACTGCGTGTGTAAACTGAGCTGTGTGCCACCCCCTGTGCCCATCCCTATGTGATTGTATCTTTAGCAAGATGGTTAAGCTGGCAGACTTGGGTCTCTCCTCCATGTCTTTTCATTTTGGTCGGTGTTTCTCAGGAGCCATTCAGAATGTGCATCATTAAGTTAAGTTGCCTCTCAGCGGTGAGATGAAACATCTGGTGCTGGTGTCAGTGGTCTTGCTGGGTCGCCGCAGTGTTCTCACAGTATCCGTCTTCTGCGCTTTTGTTGCCTACGTCAAATACACCCCGTGCTGGGTCTGCAGAGTGGAACTAGCTGTGTTTAAGATTCATCTAGGTGTGTCTATGGACCCTTCTGCGTTACTGGAACGCACATCTGGGCCATGTTGGGTGGACGGGCTTTGGTTTTCGACGTGGGCTGTGGGAATGGAAAAGGAGAGGAAGACTTGGACTAACCTTATCTACAGTATGTGGTCTTCTTCATCGGGGACCGTTACAGGACAGGAGGTCCTGTGTAGCCGGAGTGTGTTCTAACTTCTGAGGTCTAGCGTGCATTGCAGATATAAACTGTATGTAAGCAATTAAACTGGCTGGAAATCTGATGTGAGCTGAATTTAAAACCAGCAACTTTGTAGCTTGTGTATTCCTTTTTGCCTGGATGCAATCCCTCGGAGACATCTGGAGCGGTGTGGGTCGCCCTGGACAGTAGATCTTCCGACCTGTCAGCAAAGCAGGAGATCCTCAATTAAATCACCTTCCTAACTACCGTCTCCCAGAAAATCAAATGCTTCCAAACCACAGTAGCGGTGTAATTACTCTAGAAATAAAATGGGATCCCCTATTAAAGTTTCGCTCCTTATGGTTAGAGCTCTCCATTTAGGGACAAAATTGGACGCCTGCGTAATTATGGCCTTGAATATACAGGGCCTCATTTTCTCTGAGAAGACATGATGGTCAGACCCAAGGAGATGCGTCTACACGGAGAGAAAGATTTTATACCTGTGGTTAAATCTTTATCTGGAAACTGGTTGCCATAGTGCAGACTGGTGTTTGGAAGGGTCCCCGGCATGATGCAGTCAAACCAGCCTGAGTTTGCCTTTTACGGAGAGGTGAGATCAGGCATGGATTTTCTGAGATGATGTGGAAAGCAGTGTGGAAGTGCCTGTAGCCATCACAACAGCTAATGTGCCCCCCCCCCCAGCTGGAACCTATCCAGTACATTGGGGCTGTTATCTCAGTCCTCCAGTCAGTAGAGGTAGTCCGCCAGGCCCTGTCTGATATCTGACCTCTCAGGGCCCTTAGGCTACATTCACACTGCAGGACAAATGTGGCCCAAATCCGATTTTTTGCTCATACGAGACTCAGATTTCATTTTTTCATGCCAATGTGAAGTCACATGGAATCCGATTTTTTTCAATTCCGATTTGGGCCACTTCAGTATGTGGTCTTAAATCGGATACAGGTCTGATTTTTTGCAACGCGACCTCAGTTTGAACAGCGAAATCGGAATTCATGTGACCTTTACGTCGCTCTCGATCGGCGTTCGTCACAATTCTGCGCAGGCGGAAGTCACCATATGTCTCCGTCAGAGTGCCAAACATGGAGGAGAGCACAGAAGTTGACCAGGGACAGCGAGGTGCTGGAGTATTTGGGGAGATAAATCTGTTCGGGCAAAACTGGAAGGTTCATATCGTAACTGGGCAGTTTTCGAATCAATAAAGTGACGTCTTTGTTTTTGCACGTGCACGTCATTGTGTCTTCATTGTTTTGTGCGCACGCAGGCCAGTTCAGTATAGTGATCCGTTCACATTGAAATCTGATTAAAGAGTAATGTGAACAGGCAAACGAAAAATCTGATCTGAGCAGGAAATCAGAATTGAGCATTAAGGCCTGCAGTGTGAACGTAGCCTTAGAAAGGAACAGCTTGGAACAGCTCTTCTCTCTTTGTTTCCATTGGTGGTTCATTTTGGGTTTTTACGTCTTGCTCTGGAACCATTATTTTAATACCGTTTGAAATTGTGCACAAATTACTTGCATTATATGGAGGCACTTAAGCAAGTCAGACATTATTTCCTTTTTCAATTTGCAAAATGAAAAGGTCTTAGAAAAACCACCACTGAGCCTATTCCAATATAAACACAAGTCCTCTTGTAAATTCGGCAGTGTAGCTGGTCATTTTTTTTAAACGACAGATGTTAAGATGGCTCTTCGTGAAGAAACAGTCATCAGCAGCAGGCTTCTGTGTGTGACTGTGTGTAAATCGTTTATTTATCGATTTATTCCCGACTGTTCCGTACGGCCAGTTTCTTCTGTGTTCACTGCAGCCGCCCCTTGAGGCTGACCTTGAGGCCCCCTTATGGGGAAACAGCTGTAGGACTTCAGCGCGGCACTCCGGAAACTTCCACACACACTTCACCTTCCCCTTCCAGTCGCGCCAGCCGGCTGCCTCGCCAGACTGACTATTCAGCATTCAATAATAATAATATTGTGTATTTTACAGATGTGTGATTAGCGTTCCAAAAAGACGTAAGCTCTATAATGCAGTCTTGCGCATCGTAATTTCACATTTTACGCCGTCGTATTCCGCTGCACGTTTTCATCTCAGTCCAGCACCTTTCCTAAACGTAAAAATCGGAGTTTTTCTCCCGGATGGAGCTGAATACCCTCCATATCTGCTTTCCCAGCCCTCTGTGACCTGCTCTCAGTCCACCCTCATTGCATTACAGCATCTGTGTCCTCTCCGGCCTGTTTCACTCGCAAAACAGGACCTATTTGTTTCTCCCGATGTGTTTATCCGTTTTACAGCCTTAAATAAAACCCATTGCCAGAGTGTACATATGGCAGCGCGGGGAGGTGTGTTTTTTGTGGCAAGGCGATGTTTTCTCCACATACGGCTGGCCTTCTTTCCAGTAAGTCGTTTAAATAGGTGCCTCAGTGTTGAGTTTACAGATGCAGTCATTTCCTTAAGTTTGGGGAGGTATTCACCATCAGGGAGACACTTTTTAAAAAGTAAAACACAAAATCATGACTCGCAGACATCGAAGGAGGCAGGAGGAGTAAAATAGAATTCTTATGAAATATATAATCTTTTCCCATTACAAGTGGCTGGCATTCCCAGAGGCGTAGCGTTGAGGTAACCTAAACTGGTGCGTTTAGTCCTGTACACTTTTACAGGAATAGAAATGAAAGTAAGGACAGTGTATTAAATGATTGAGGTATTTCACAAAATAATCTAAGACGGGGAAAGTATGTTATATATACCTTCTGCGTCTTGTTTGTAAGTCGAATGCACCTTGTGAGTGTTAGTTACTGGTATTGGGTGGTCGGGGACGTGTTTTAAAAGCAGTGAGTCAAGTAGGGTTAGGCTATCACATAGCTCTGAAATGCAAATCACGGCTCATAATGCACGCTTCTCGTTCACAATGACATTATACAGCCCGAGACCTCAGAAATGCCACTCTCAAATGGCATGAAAGGAAAGTTCCAGGACTTTAAAACACAAAGAATTGTTTGTAATTGAAGGGGCCTTGACATCTGTTTTGTAGACAAAATGAGTGTAATTATCCAGAAAATCATTCTTGGGGCTTTCACATTCCTGAAGAGCTTAGAAGAGGCTCGCCAAGAAATGGCTTCTGAGGACCCGATATGCTGATGTTTGTTGGCCCCCATCAAAATGTGCATAATCTTGGCTGTTGGAGGAGACTGTCTGTAATATCATCACTTGAGAATGTTTGATATCACTTTAAGCATTCAGACCTTGGCTCTGTTAGGGAAAGTCCATGAGACACGTGTGAACAATAGAGGTGGCACGCTTTCCTGTGCCAAGACTGATTGAGAAAGCTATAGGTGAAGAGATGTTCCCCTCGTCGGCATGGCGACAGACATTCTGGCATTTGCCAGGTGTCAGTGGACCCTCTGGGTGGAGATCCTAGGAGCCTCTTGGTCCTACACCTTGCTCCTCCAACAGCCTCAGTGACTGCACCCCGCTTTCATGTCCCTCGGTCACGATCACTGCTTATTCCCCTGGAATGTGAGCCGATCTGTGTGGGCATCACTCTTATACCCAACAGAAAGGAGTGTTTTTTTCTCTAAACCCCAGCTGTTGCATTGAACCTCTGGCATTTCATCCACCATTCCAATTCATCGCATGTGACTGCTTTACAAATAAATCTTGTAAAGAGAGAAACCCGTGGCTTTATGAAGGTGCCGCTCACATAAAGGCCATATGTTTTCAGCCCATGACGATTGTCTTATATGAAGACCTACCTACGCTGAATAGTTCTCCTTGTGGCTGTGTATCCGTATGTGAATTTCTAGGTCTACGTTTTCAAGGTAGGAACTTGCCATAACCAAGAATGAATTTGCTTGAATTAGGGCGTTTATGCAAATGTAACAAACTTTGACTTAAAGGCTTTATTGTTCCACTTGGAATTAGGACACAACTGAGGATTATCTTCTGTAAGTAGCATGGAAGAAAATCTCCTGTTAGCCTCGTTGCGATCCGAAGCTGCGGGCCAAAATGACTGAAAGCAAAAATGCAGTTGACAGACTAATGAAATTAAGATGAAATTAAATTTGATATTTCTCTGTCATTGGGCACAAGTCGGCTGAGGTTAACTCCAGAAATGGTTAGGTGTCCATTTTCTATGACTCTGGAGATAAGGCCTTGATGTTCCTTGAGTGTATAGCACCGTGCAGTTACTCCAGAATGTTAGATAATGAGGAACATAACTTCAGGCCCCCTTTATTTCTGGTCACGTACCTTTTTGCACGTTTGCGAAATGTGAGTCATGCTTGTAGCTCTCTGGCTCGTATCACTGTAACCTCCTGACAATGATCACTCGCTGTCTCGGCTGGTGTTACAGGTGTGACGGCATAGCACACGCTCCGTGCGACGTGCACGTGGACTGAGATTTCAGACCGAGATTAAGCCAACTTCAGGTGCAGCACTCAAAGACTCTGTGTTCGTCCTGCAACATATCATCAGTATAATCAATACTTGAACGTTGTAAGAACATTGTTGTACCGTTGCGGAGCTGTTTTGTTAATTTTTGCCCAGAGGTTAAACTGATTCTATCGGAACTGATATGAATCCCTGAAACAAAACAGTTCAGGAGCAAAGACAGGTCAACCCATCGTGTCTCGCTGTTATTGCGTCATTTTCTGTATCAGTCGAACAGATTAGTTGTCTGGGTTGAACAGGTGAGGGGGGAAAAAAATGGTCATTTGTTGAAATTGCTAGGTCTGTTACATGCATGCATATTTTTTTAAGCTGGTGGGAGAATAGAATGGACTCTTGCAGAACTTACTGCCATAGGTCTGGTTAACAAGGAGTGCTTTGTAGAGGAAAATTCAAGCTGATGTCAATCTTCTGGTTTGTGTGTGTCTGTGAGTCTGTGTGGTTTGTCTGTTTGACATTTTTAAAGTGGGTTTTCAGTAGACAGAAAATTAAAAGGTTCAAGTCTGAGCACTTAGGCCTATAAATAAAAACAAATAAACGAGTGCAACGCTTATGTTGTCTGTGAATTTCAGCTGGTTGCGTGAAACGGTGACTCTGTCTCACCTCACACCTTCAGGGTCGTGGGTTCAAATCCCGCCTCTTTTGCATGCCTGTGTGGAGTTTGCATGTTCTCTCCAAGTTATGCAGGTTCCCTTCCACAATTAGAGCTGCCTCCCGTCCTCATTTAATACAGCAACATTCTGTGATGCGAAATAGAATTCTCTGTCCCGTTTCGAACCATTATGGGATGCGGTCGATCCCGTATTGGAAGCCTTGCATGATCGATCCACTACCCTGCAACAGACTGGCGTTCCACCCAGTGGGTACCCCAGCCTTGTACCCTGTACTGCCTGGGATAGGATCCGGACCCTTCTGCAACTCTAACCACAGTAAGCGGTTAGTCCGTGGATGGATGGATTGGACCTGGCGGGTGTAATCCCATCAGTCAGTCTATTTAATGAAAAGGATGAATAGAGTGGATGTGTTAGGGAACTGGCAGTGAGTGAGGTGCAGTGAAGGTTATCACTGCAGCTCCGGGTCCTTGGCAGAGCAGCACTCACAGGCTGGGGTCACTTAATAGCCAGCAGACACAAGTCTCTCTACGGGGCTCAGGGCTTCCTCTCCAGTCCTCTCCGGCCGCGTGCTTTGGATGGCAGGCGAAGTGTTTCTGGGGGAGTCTGCAAACACTGACTGGCAGCTCTTTCCAGCCTGCGATTTCCCAGCAGCCACCTGCTTCCATGGCATTGGTACAAAGACTTCGCCTAATTGATGGCAGTCTCATGTATTTTGGGGGTTTTATAGTATTTTCTTTGCTTTTTATTTGCCGCTGCTGTCTTGAGAAAGTTAAATATTACTTGGCTAACTAGGATGTATCATGTTAGTAAGGATTTATGGCTCCTCTGTACAATGAAACCGGTGCTAGCTGAGGGAATGCTTTGGGAAATGTGTGGTTTAGATTTTTGTTGTGTTTTTTTGTTGCTTGTTTGTTTTTTTGTCTTCTTTCTTCTATTTATTTGCGAAAGGCATATATAGCATTCCTGAGCTGGTGACTTTTTGGTCCAGGTGGGAATTAAGATCATTTAAGATCAACAGGTCAGGGAGTTTTAATTGAAACGATTGTCCTCTTCTCTGCAAGGGCCACTTTGAAACCTGCCGTTAATGTCCAAACCATCAATGGTTAACTGCTAATGCTTTGTCGCCATGGCTACATATAGAATGCAGTCCTGGCCCAACCCTTTTGGGGAGGTTTTTGCGCAGAAGCTTTCCCGGTGCCTCCGTCAAGGTCACACATGCACTGTACGCAGGCCGATCTGTTCGAGCCGATCGATGTATCGAACGGCTTCCTGTTCCAGGTGACTTTTTGTCCCTGAGATACTATTAACCCATTCCATTTTGCAGGCTCGTTGCACACATCAAGCGGAGAGAAAAACTCCAAAATGGCAGTTCCTTCCTCTCTGTGAAGGCATGCATTTTCACAGAGTAATTCAGACTTTATAGGCCCCGTTGTTGAAAAGTCCTTCAATGGACTCCTGATCTGGGCATTTTTAATGCTGTTTGTCCAGCAAATGCAACCGAACCAGCGTTCATTCAGGGCCAGCGTTCATTCAGTGGTCTTTACTGCAAGACGTTTGCGTCCTGCTTCTTTCAGTCTTTCCGTGAACCAGTCTGACTTGAGTCTGAGGTCATGGGGTCTCCTGTTTCATTACACGCGGTGCTTGTAGGCCTGCTCTTGTTAGATTGTAAATGCCTCTTTTAAGAATGGCAATGTGATACCTTTCTTTGGTCCCAACCGAGGCTGACTAACTGAGATAAAAATGGCAATGAAAGCGAGGTGAGATTTTTTATTTTTTTTTTAATTCTTGCAAGAGCTGATATGGTGATATTGGCTTTGAGGTATGCAGTTTGGTAAGTAACACGGGGAAGGTAAAATGAACAGACAGACCTCCCACATGGTAACTTAATTAGCTGCGAGCAGGATTTCTGACAGAGACTTTTTACTGCTGCAGAGGTATTTTCTGTCGTGTTTTTCTTTAATTCGCTCCTGTAATTCCAGGCATGCGGCGAGAGAGCAGGAGCGCACTTAAGGTCAGATAAAAGACTGTCAGCGCGCATTAAGCCCCCTGTCGTCCGAGGCCTGCGGTGGGATGCGGTTCTGGAGACGCGGCCCCCTGCGGGGGTAGGCCTGCTTCGGTGGCCCGGTTCCATGCTGACTCATACCCTGATCCGGTACTTAAGCCCCCCCCCCCAGCATTTTAACGAGGCTGCAGGATCAGCACCGCTGCTAAAGTTAGACGGCCCGTCAACAGCTGCCTCCGAGCACCAATAACCCCCCCTAACCCCCCCCCCCAACCCCCTTCCCAGCAGTTGTCCTGTCCGGCAGCGGGAAGAGGAACCAGCACAGTTTCCCATAAACACACATATTTTTGGGTTTGTTTACAAACACACCTCAACTCCACGTTAAACCCTTCAAAATCTGTTTCGTTCATTTCTTTTTCGAATAATATTTATGTCAGGGTTGCCTAGTTCTTGACTAAACTGCAAGGAGGGCTCGTGTGCTCATTTTTCCATCACTGGAGCTTAAAGCAAATAAAGTCTTCAAGGCCTGGCGTGGTCAGTGACTCGAGTTAGATACTCAACTTGCTCAATGGGTTTTCTTTTAATCGCTTTATTTTTACCTTGACCCCTGGGCCATTAAACTCATGGCTCATCACCGGTAGCGTCAACAGGGGGCGGCCATAAAACATTAACATATTTCACTTCCTGCTCGTCCTTTCTGTGTCTTACGCATGTGAATAGAATAGCTCCGATTCCCCAGTTTGTAGCTAGAGCCACTATGTATGTGTTACTTTAGAAAGTCTAAATCTGTAGAAGTATTTGACCATAATAGGGAGGAATCCATCGTCAACCACAACTTGAAAGACTTGGGGATAGAGCTGCTAAATTTCATCCTTTTTGAATAACTAAATATCTGTACTGGTTTATTTTTCCTTTAATGTCTGCTATGTGGTACGAATCCTCAGTCTGGTCAGTTTGACTTTTTAATTGGTCAAACCCTATCTGTATGCAGGAAATGCCTTGTTAACCATCATCATGGTTATTGCAGAAATTGCCCTACACGACTTAAAGGGGGACATCCCTTTAAAAGGAAAAACACATCTGTCGTTGTGGTTTTGTGGGTCTTTGTGGACGTCCTGCTTAGGGCTCTGTCTCCAGACCAGCAAGTCCCAGAGTGGGACGCATGGTCAACAGAGCGCTTAACATCAGTGTTATTTTATGGAGTTACATCAAGAAAAGACCAAGGATGGATCTCTGGAGCCTAGATAAGTGTCTGGTTTTCCTAAATGACAGAAATCAGTCTGACAGCTCAGAAAGAGATTTACATTGTTGGTCATTTTTTGGCAATATATGAGAAAGATTGTTTCTCTAACCCTGTATCTTATTTAAAAATTCACTATAATCTAGGAATTATGTGTAACCCTTTAAACTGTTGATTGCTTAGCAACGATATTAAACTCACACAGTGGACAACTTTTGTGTTCTGGGAGCTGAGCTCAGTTTATGAATTTAGTGGCTGTGAAGTTTATGTAGAAGACAACTTTCATGTGTGAGACTGTATAAGTTTTTAAGTTTTACAGGAGGAACAGATCATTTCATTGAGGACATGCATTGTGTGCTTCCCACAGTATAGTGGTGGTTGGGGTTTGGTCCCATTAGTCCCCAGAGCCCTTCAAACGGAGCGAGCGTTGTCCTGCCCTGTGTTGATATCGCTATGGCTACAGACAGCCTCGCATTCCACGGTTCTTCAGAATTAGACTTGGGGAAGAACTCAGGGATACTTCTTAAATGGCCCTCCCCGTACAATCCATGGACATAACAAGCATCCTGACCGGGGCTCTCGTGTATTCAAGGCAAACCTGAGCGCAGCCTGCCTAGATATCACCTCAGCTTCCGCAGAGCCAGTCTGTGCTTCCCGTAGCCTGTGTGGGTGATGCCCCATGTTGGTCTTAGAAGATTTTTTTCTCCTCTGGTCCATCTGGTTGTAACAAAGCAAGAAGCTAAGACGACTATTCAGTGATCAGGAGTGCAACACTAAGCACACTCACTAAAGGGTCATCAGACATATGTTCTTATGTAATTATTTGTTGATCTCTTTATTTACTTACCATTTATTTAACCTTTTTATTCTGGAAAAAAATGGGGTGGCATGCTGGTGCAGTGTCACCTCACACCCCTGGGACTCGGGTTTGAGTCTCTACCACGGCTCCCTGTGTGTGGAGTTTGCATATTCTGCGTGCGTCGTCATGAGGCTTCCTCCGGGTATGCTGGTGTGTGTCAGTAAATGGTGTGTGTGTGTGTTAGTAAATGGTGTGTGTGTGAGTGTGTCAGTAAATGGTGTGTGAGTGTGCCCTGTGATGGGTTGGTGCCCCATCCTGGGTTGTTCCCTGCCTTGCGTTCATAGGCTCCAGACCCCCCGTGACCCTCAATTGGACAAGCAGTTACAGAAAATGGATGGATGGATTCCTAAAAGCTAAGGAGTCCTTGCTGTTGTTGTAGATGAGCCTACAGATCAGTTAGTCTTTGGTAGTTTTGATTGATTTTGAATTCATCAAATAAAAGAGTGATTGAATTTGAATTTGGGGAAATTATATATTTGTCTTGAGGGGCCTTTATGTTAAATTGTTCTCTCAGTAATTACTGCCCGCTGTCTTTCACTGTGGGTTGGATTGTAATATACCCTACATGGCCCATTGGTGTGGATGGCAAGGCGCCCTCAATACGATGAAGTCTCCCAAAGTTGGCTGTTCTTGGTTTAAAGTGTGCTGCAAACATATGGAAGAGTTCTGCTCCTAGAGATCAAAGCCAGCGACTGCTTTCAGATTAAGCTTCCCAGCATGCTTATCCATCAGCTAACCCTGGAACGCCTCCAACACCTTTTCCCAAGTGCACCGGTCGGCCATTTTGCTAGTCTTCCGGAAGGCCTTCACCCCCTGCAATTGTAAGGGAGGTCTTGACCAGTTTTTTGTCGACTTTGCATATGTGAATCAGTGCTTCATGTGAGAAGAGATTCTACTGCAGGCAGGAGTCAGCAGCGTGCATTATTTTTATATTACATTGTGGGGACCAAATGTCCCTCCCACTGGGATTAAATCCTGCTATTTTGACAAAAAGATCCGTGAATGCAATCAATAAACTAAAACTGCCAAAAGTTTCATATTTTGTTTGATTGCTTATGGTTATTGTTTTCTGATTTGTCAGTACCAGAATCATTCAGCACGTATTTTTTTGTGTTTCGTTGACCAAAAACGAGGTGTGTTTGAAGGTATGATGCAGGCAGCGCACTGGGAGATGGAGGGTTCCAGGAAGAGGCTAATCTTCTCGGTTAAGTATGAATAGGTCTGAGTGAGTCACACTGTGTGAAATGCCCTTCGTGCCTGGTGACTCAGTGCCTTCCTGCTAACCCTACACTGGATTCTCGCACAAGTGAATTTGTGTACAAACAAGCCTATACAGAGTCCGCATCCCGGCATGCGGTTGGTGTACGTGTCCCGTTCTGTTGGAAGGAAACAACTCTACCAGGATGTGGTCTTAAAGACTGAGGTCTTAGCACCATCTTTGGTACTGAAGAATTGGTTTAACATAATGATTTTTGTAGTTCCAATGTATGGCTGACCTGAGTCCAAGGCTGCCTGGCTACAGCCTACAGGCCCATAGAACCAGGATTAGCAACTGGCTGATGGATGGATGGATGGATGAATGGATGGATGGATTTTATTTTACTGTACGGTGAGTATAGGTCATTCTTGCTGGTTTCAGTTGTAAATTGTAACTCTTCAAACGATTTCATTCTAAATTACCAACCGCTTCTCAGTTGAGCTGGGGATTAAGTTTCCCATGTAGTGCAGCTTAACAGCTATAGTTTATTGGTTTTCATTTTTACCTGACAGGAGTATCTGCTAAGCAACATTTTACAGTGATAAAGTTCTGGTAAAGCCTATAGCTAGTGTGTAAATCTGAGTTCCCTGTGTGCTGTATGTATACCAGGAATGCGATAGGATCTTACTTTTGTATTCACCAGGCGGAAGTCAGTCCCAAGGTTGGGTCTTTGAGGTCGCTGGGTTATTTGCAGAAGCGAAGCCATAAAATGAGCGAGTGAATCCTTTGAGCTGGCTGTCAGCTTTCCAGCATCTCGCGTCCTGTTTAATCAGCGCCACTGAAAGTCAGTAGCACGTTTGCGAAACACAGAAACCGACATCAAACGCCGACCGGGATTTTTTTGCGTAACGTCCGACGGAAGGCAAAGGGAGCCGCGGGGTGTGGTCCTGGGCGGGGGC